TGTTTGCACCAGGTTAATCTTGGCCGTCCCCTGGGCCTTTTGCCGGTCGGATTTCCAAGGAACAGTTGCTCAGCATTCCTTTCTGCAGGCATTAGCAACACATGCCCAAGCCATCGCAGCTGTGACTTCCCAGTCTGGAGAAGCAAAGGCTGTATACCAAGGTTCTTCCGGATGTCAGTATTCCGGATCGTGTCGAGACGCGTAAGACCAGCGACTCGTATCCTGACTTCACTTATATTAAAAGCTAGTGACTGCCTCCTCTGTAAGACATGAGTAAAAATGTTTGTTTGTAGAATCTCCTGACCTAATTCTCATTGTATGGCGCTAAAAGATAGTTGGTCGTAGCGGGAGAGAGAAGATAGTTGCCATAATATGCTCTTCCCTTTTATTACACAGACTACGCGAATTGCATAATCCCACACAACATGAACAAACCATTTTTTGCACCACTTCTTACTCGTGGATGTCAATTGGGTCGTATAAACAATCCGCACTATGTGGCAGTTTAGTACATTAAATCAACAGATGCATTTCTCTGCATTTTATACGCAAAAATATAGTATTGTTTGTGACAAATCATGCTTCAGCATCTAGTATTTATTCAACGTGTCAGCTGAACCCATAACCCGTGGATATTGCTTGTATGTTCATTCATGAGCAGTTCATCACATATAGCATGGATATAAATCATTATGGCTTCCTTGCAGAACCGCCATATCTAAAACTATCAGTCCCAAGAATTTCTGCAAATAGCCATGTATTGTGTATTGGATAGTGACGAACGAAAATGTGATCCGTCGATGTCAAAGAACAGTATAACATTCGGGTTTGGAGTGTGCCATTATATAGCATTTCTTGCTCTTGGCCCTCAAAGAGGCATGATTTATTCATTTTTGTATTTCTTAACATCATCTATCATGCATGGTTCAGATTCGCAACTGTCTTGTCCACGAACCGCCATATTTTTTTCAGACGACAGGCAACATGATGAAAACATTTCATTATGTTTTCTTTGAGTATTAATTAATAAGGACAGGCGTCAATAAATAACAGTTCTGTATGCAGCTGACGTCGAAATATTGTTCTCAGGCAGATTTGCTACTGTAACGTTTTGAGGCATTTCAACCGATGCTTAGTGACCTCTCATCAACTGACTGATTAGAGTTTGTGGTCTGTGAAAATTTTTTACTGCTGAGACAAATACACTGCATTTCTTCTTGTTTTCGATCACTTACTTCTGACGTCCTCCTCGTTTGTAAACGCTGCTGCATATTTGAGGAAGTAGCACTTGCTGAGAGAAGAATAGAATGCAGTCGATGCGATCCGTAAATATATTTATTTAAGCCTCACTATTGATCAGTACTTAGCGCTTCTCTTCATCGTCGTTGCCTTGTGGTGAGGAAAATTCGATCAATGGCCAACAGTTAGTGGCGAGTAAAGTGAGGTGAGGAACAGTGCTTCATTTCTCACTAGTCAGCGACAGCATCTTTCGAGCAAATGCTTGACGACCCGCCGAATTAACTGAGTTGGCGGGACATGTTTGAACTTTTTCTGGTCAGATCAGTAATAAAAGATTTACCACGTTGTCGATCGTTCGGAGGGTATTTTCACCGAGTCAGTCTCATCGACTGCAGGCCGCTGAGTGATAGCTTATCCATCACTGCTCTGAATCAGCTGCTGTCTCTCGTTGCCTCGAGCCGCGCGGCGATTGGCCTACAGCGAAAGCGAGGCAGTGGCAACGATGTGCCACCATGAATCGGATGTACGTCATTTCGAGGCAGGAGGATGCATCTCGCCGCAGGAGCAGCAGGTCCCGCGAAGGCAATGTTCTCTTCTGCCCTCAGGTAATTTTCTGCATACGATCGTTGATCGTTTGCCAAAGAGGATGCGCCCAGATTCAGGTCATTTCTCAAACGCCGTCATGTCCATTCGTAAGTTCTCGGAACGACTATCGTTCAGCTCCCAGGTGTTGCCGGCAGTCGAAGTCTTTGACATCAGGTTCGACAATGCCGATGGCGTCTACTACGCAGGCGAGAAGGTGATAGGCTGCGTGGTGTTGCAGCTGAACGAGGAGCAGAAGATCTCAGAGGTGCTGCTGGAACTCAAGGGCGGGGCGAAAACCTACTGGACGAAGCATTCGGGCAAGTCCAGGAAGCACTACCGAGACTCTGAGCCGTACTTCTGTGAACAGTTCAACACCGCCTATACGCACGCGTTCGGCGGTGCTAAGGACCGTTCGTTGCCCAAGGGCCGCCATGACATCCCGTTCACCTACCAGCTACCTGACAACCTACCCTCCTCCTTCGAAGGCGACTTCGGCTACGTCAGGTATGTATTCAGTACTTGTTGAGGAACGGTCACGTCCAAGAGAAACGTGATGCTTTGATTTTTGTTTCCGCTGTCGGAAAGCCGGCGATGGAACTGCAAA